AAAGTCTGTGATTAAGGAGTAATTTCAGTCTTGGGAAAATAGTTGTCATATTGTGGAGGTTTTGATTTGAATACATTTTAACACCCTAAACACACACATTTAAATATACACAAACAGAGATAGCAAGCATGACCATAATCAATAGAGGGTGCTGTTGCTTTAGAAAGTCAAGCTATGCCGCTGTATAGTTTAGCTTCTCATGCTTCATCAAACACATTTACAGTATGTTTGACATTTAATTTTAAATATGGAAAACTATGGGGGAAATGTATGTGAGCATAATATTAGATGTATTTCTCCATATTTTATGTAAGTGTCCTGTACTTGTAAAAATACATTTTATTTATATTATATTTATATTTTCTTTTTTGTCTTACTTTATTATACTTTCCTCTTATCTTGCAGTCACTTGTATAAATACAGTAGTCTATATGCTTGTGTCGTTAATGTGAAAAACTAATAAAAAGCTCTTCTGAAAAAAAGTCTAGATGCAGAAAATTTGTTATGTTAATGTTCTTGTCTGCCGCTCAGTGTCTTACTTGACATTTCAGAGTTGACCAAACCGCCCCATGCACGTATTGTTTTGGTGTGTGTGTCTATGTCACACTCCATTTTAGATCAAGGCTTTTTACACTTTCTGGATATCTGTATCTGTGTGTATACGCATGGACACAGACTTGCACTGTGTTTTGATTTTGAGTCATTGTTAAATGGAAAACACAGGAAGAAAGAGCCATTTAAATACTCTGAACCCAAATCTGTGCCATTAATAACAACAAAATATATAAATGTGCATGTTCTGGATAGCTTCAAGGTGTAGACAAGTTGTTTTCAACATAATTCAACCACTTGTCGCTCATGGAAGCCTTCCAGAGAACAAAGAAGGCGTAGATGATGCAGTGGCCTGTCTCCTGCATTCACTAAACACTCAGACACTTTCTATAACAGACCACCTTCCATTGATTTCTGCTCTGCTTTCAACGCCACCCAGTGGCATCAGATGATTAAGCAGCTCCCTAGAGCACTTTAAACTCCTCTTTTTCTTTTAAGTAGCACACCTCAAGCAGTAAAGGTTGATAACACACTGTCAACCACCAAAAGCCACTGTCATTACCAAAGACGGTGTGCTCAGCCCATTTCTTTTTACTCTATACAAAAGACTGCCACAATCCATCACCAGTTACACCCAACACTCCTCAAGCGCTAACTACTCAACAGGCAATATCTTACTTTGCCAAAGATGTACTTTGTAGCGTTTCCAAATTGCCTCCTCCATCTGAATGGTGTAGATCTGCTATACTTATGCCCTACAAAGCTCAGCAGAAGTTCCATCACAGACTACTCATTGCTCCCTCTCTCTTCTCTCTGTCAGGCACTGAGCTTATAACTTCCTGATTCACATCTCACAATAAGTATAAAACTACCACTCCTCACGCTTACCCAGACGGGAACCAGTCACTAAAAAGTATTATCTTTATTACTGTAACCCAGTCAGATGTAGCTTCCAGCTCTATCATTGGCATACAGTATGTACTCGGCTTGGATGCCGCTCTAAATGTGTTGTTAATTAATTAAAAGTCTGGTTCAAGAAGTCAAGTGTTTCAGTGTCTCCACTCTCCATGATACTCATTCATCCACTTAAAGCATATTAGGATCAGTAGCAGTGAGATGAGACAATTTACTGTAATTGTATCTCTGTAAAGGGTCATTTACTGCAATCATAGAGCAGAGTCTTTAGCTAATGTCGCGATCTCTGCAAACAATGGATGTCCTGCGTACTCGTTGTGAAATGAAACATCTGTCTCCCTCTCTCCCCTCTTCCCTACCACTTAACCTGCCTCTGTGGATGTGAGCTTTTGGGTGTTTTAACAAAATGTTCTCTCTTCTTTTTTGTAAGACTGAGATTCAGGGACTTTCAAAGTCATCTCTCCCTCTGCCTCATCACCCTTTTAAAAAGAAATACCACTTTGAATGCTAAATAAAATCACCTTTTCACCTTTAATGGAGGAATAATCATGCTCTCAATGACAGGAGGGATGAAATGGAGGGGCAACAGGAGAGCAATCACAAGGGTGCAAAGCAATATCAAAGAGAAAATACATCACTGTCAGATATTTTGGAACGTGGCAACGATCTCTTGCCAAAATGTATGAGCAGGAGATAAAGAGGGGAGGAGGACAAAATACCTGTAACTAGTAAGAGAGACTATTAGAGAAAGGTGTAGACAAACAAAAAATGACAAAAACAAAAGACAAAAGGAGGACTAATAAAAGAAGACACAATGAACTATGGGAAGGCTGAGACAGGAAATTATTGACATTTTGAGGCCAAGAAAGGCAATGGAGGAGAGGAGGTCATAAAGTACCAAGCACAGTAAAGTTTCAGTTTATTAGAAAAAAAGAAGATGAAAAGTGCATTATTAGATGTGTCAAACATCTAGGTTTAAACTTTTTCTAACATGTTAGTGGATAAAGATCATGGGATGATAAATAAAACATATACAGAGGAGTTCAGAGCACTTTATAGATGCTGCCTGTGGTCTTGCTACTCCTTCAAATAGCACCAGATGGCAGCATTGGGCTATATGTTGGCATATGCTGAGCCACTCTGAGTCATATGTTTATTATGCCTACAGCCTGGGAGGAATCATCACTGAGAGCCTCCTGGATATGTGCTGACACTATTGGAAGATAATGGTACTCATCATAAAGGGATGAAGCTTAAAGAATAACAATGACTTTGGTGAAAAAGCTCTCAGAACAACAGCCCATTGTGTTGGATTATAAGCAGTTTGGTGAAAGCCTCACCAAATCCCGCGGCAAATGAAATCAATATTGCACAGAAAGAAGTGGAACTACAGCAGAGACATAAATATAGATGTCTCATTGACGTGCCTGTGATGTCAAATGCTGAAAAAACGACTTAATGGCTATAAAATCAGTCAAATATTTATTTTATTGCAGTTTCAGTAAAAGACTATTAACCCTCCCACTCATACACTGTAACACCAGATAAGTTAATTTAACTCAAAACTGTTACATCAAAATCTTAAAGTAACACAAACAAACGTTAAACTCTCGATTAAGCAGCTATTTACTAATAATTGTGTAAGTGGCACTAACTTAGTTTTGTAAGTTACAGAAACATTGCTGATGAATAACTTTTTACTAGGCATTTTGTTTTCACAGTACAAATAAATATAAAAAAATTAAGTCAAAGTTAAATTACTAAAGCTTCTTGATTAGGAATATTTTTTTAACTTGCAAAATTGAGTTAATTTTACTTAAATATTCAATTAAAATGAGTTAAATGAACTTATCTGTTTTTACAGTGTAGCTCGTGAAGCCTATTCATACAAATGAAAATACAGGCTAGTTGATGAATAAAATGTCTGAACTTCTGTTGATTTATTTAGAAAAATAACTTTCACGGGCAAGACCACAGAGAGATAGAGGTGTAAATAATTTAAATTAGTAAAAGTAGGAAACCTGTTTCCCACTGGCACTTTCTCTACTGTAATCAAATTGAATTAAACTGAAAGTTTCTATCATTCATTGAGGCCTTTATATGCATTGTTGTGTTTGTGGGTCTGTTGTCTGTTTTGTTTAGCCTGTGTGAATGCACAAGTCGTAGGGTGCCTCTGAATATCACTCAATTCATAATGGTTTCCATCTTTTGTGTATCTGTGTATGTGTGTGTATAATTTATTTTACACACAGCACATATGCAGTGAAATCCATGAAATCTTCATGGTCTGAGCATGTTCTTCTTGCCGCCTGCATGCCCCACTACCCTCAAGCCTCTTCACTGTGTGTGCGTGTAAGTGTGTGTGTGTGTGTGTGTGTGCTGCGGCGCATGTGTGCACTCACTCTCTTATTTGTGTTTCATGTGTGTACACGCATGGTGTGTGCCCTTGATGTCCCTCTGTGTCTGAACCGTTGAGTGTTTCCATGCATGAGTACATCTGCGAGAGAACCTCTCTTCTTTATCTCCACCCACACACGCCAACTGGCAGAGTCTCCATGGACCCCCCTCACCACCACCACACACACGCACGCACACACACAATGGACATGATAATTACATGTGAAGTGTTGCCCTGTGCCTTCCAGATGATTAAAATGGTACCGTAAGTTGCTGTGGTGGTATTTTCAAGGTCAGAGACACATTTGAAGGGTTTAACCTGTGAAGCCCAATGGATGCTGAACACTTACTGAGCGATTAGCTTTGCCAGGATTGGCTCACACTTAAAGGATTTTCATATCAAAGGGAAAAATCAAATGTTTCCCATTAATTCAAATACAACGATGCATGACTCATTGGACACAAAAAGTTGAGATGCAAAAAGCAAATGAGAAATCCTTTCACCCTTTCTTCAGCAGCTACTGTGTGTCTGTGAGCAAACCACATGATTCCCGATTCCTCCGATACTGTATATTATTTTATTTGCTGCAGGGATCATTAAACTTACATCGAATCCAATACACCTCAGGCAGTTTGTGAATTTTCTGGGGGAAACTTTACATGTAGAACTTCTTTCTTTTAAGTCGAATCCAGGTCAGATGAAGATATTGGCAGAAGCAACTCGAGTCATCTATCTTCACTAGTCTCCCCCCTAGTGAAACTTGGCTGTGTGGGAATCAGTGTGTGTGTGTCTGTGTGTGTAGGTGTGTCTGTGTGTGTGTGTGTGTGTGTGTGTGTGTGTGTGTGTGTGTGTGTGTGTGTGTGTGTGTGTGTGTGTGCGAGTGCGCCTCCCTGGTTGGAATTGGCTCCAATCACCTATTTGATGTAGAAGGTCACCAGCGAGATGTCCGCCGTGTCTGCCAATTCACTCTCCCTCTGTCTCTCTCAGTACCTGCATACTCACAAATACACAGAAAGGTATGTCTGAAAATATGTAAGTCGGTAAGAAGTATTTGTATGTGTTTATTACCACAGCATATTTGTACATTACATATTCACATACTGTACTTCAATTTTAAAAATCTCTAAATGTCTCATTAATGTGCATGTTTACACATTCTAATGTGTTCTGTACTTTCCTTAGTTTGGTGTCTGAGACTCCAGCAGTGTGAAACGTCCACTTACAGTAGGCTACTTAGAGTACTTGAGACATAATGTGCTCATTTCATTTACTCCCGAGAGTCTCTTGAATTATTGACTGAGCTACTGGACATACAGTACTTAGTCACAGGTTGTGGTTGTGTGTGTGTGTGTGTATTTAATAACTGTAGCCACAAATGCTTAAATACTCTGCAGTGGTCCCCAACCTTTTCAGTCAGACGCACCCCCACATCTGAATGGAAGGGGCAGAGCTAGAAGCCGTTAGAAGCTAAATCTACTTTGGTAGTGTTGTGTGCAAGATGGAGGGAGAGGGGCAGACATTCCAGCTTGAATTGGGAAGGCTAGAACAGCTCTGAATGCTGGATCTCAAAGAAAATATGCACAGACAGAGCTGGACAGGGTAGCCCAGGACCATGGGGGCCCCGCAGCCCAGTCAGATGGACTCACAGACACCTTCACAACACTCACACTCATAACCCGTTAGCTAATTTTAGCTGTTCTTTTTTTTATTTATCCATCACTCTTAGCTCTTAGCTGTTTGGACTTCCATGCTCACTTGCTAACTATGTTTTTTAGGAACTCACAAGGTTTTCACGCATTACATTCCATTCAAAACATAACTGAGCTGACTTACTCCCCTGGGGTACATGTACAGTGTCCCTGGTTGGGAATCTCTTGCTCTAGAAAGCTATTTACTGGTTTGAGAACATGTCATTGTGTCAAACTGAAGAAATAAAAAAAGAAAATCTAAAAAAATACAGCTGTATAGTGAGACAGATATAAAGTGAAGTCAAAGTTTAGTTAAAGTACATTATCACAGCGACAGGTCACAATTCACTTTACAATAATACTTCGGCACCACGAATGTTCCCTCTCTGTTAAGTTCAACCTTGATGGCACTTCAGAAAACCACCGCAAGTCTGCAGATGTACTTCATATAGCCTCTTAATAAAACCTACAACACTGAGGTTATAGTCAAATGGCTGTTTGATTGGTGAATTAAATAACTTAAAGTGCCCTTTTGTGAAAGAGCAAATTTTATGGGGATATGGTGAAGTTACTGATGCATGCAGCTGTAGAACACGCCACAATCAATGTCCAGATATCCCCTACAGTTAGGTTAGATCAATCCAGAAGCTAGATGATGATCACTTTCAAATATGGTGGAGCTTGCAGCTGAGCACACTGAGGGGTGGAACATGAATGATTCAGGGGCCCCATATAGCTGAACAGAGACACTGGGACATGACAGAGATTATCCATATATCTGTCAGAGCTGTTGGTGAGTTGTTTTATAGGGGGCCCTAAGATTTCTGGTGGTAACTTGGCAGCAGTAAAATCATACATACCATGAATAAGGAATCTACATATTGGGCTTAATGCTTCGTCTGAAAATATTTGTTTTATTAACACAAATAAAAATATGACTGGAGGGAAAATAAGCGCATTTATACAGTCACTTGAACTAGGCAAGTCTTTTGAAACAAGTGCAACTAACTCCCCCCACTGGCACTGCTATTCATATTTGCTTTAGAACAAAATGGTTAGGATTAAAGAGCCTGTGCTCAAACGTTCTCCGAGGGCGTCGATATCACAGCGCCGCCTGTGCGTAAAAATTAAAAGCTGGCTAATATATTTATTAGCACGTCTGTCGGGCGTGGCTGGCTTGTCTGCCGGAGGGAGGGGGTGTGTGTGTGGGTGTGTGTGTGTGTGTGTGTGTGTGTGTGTGTGTGTGTGTGAGAGAGAGGGGTGCTGTAGCAGTAGTCTGCTCCGGGGCTGCTGGATGCTCCGTGATGGATGAGGAGTGACAGATCGGGGTTAGCCGCCAGGGGAGTCCATTTTCTTCCAGCGCACGGTCTTCAAGCAGAGGAGGTGAGACACTGGATGCAGAGGAGGAAGGGACGAGAAACAGACCGATTTCCACCCCTCCTTCTTTCCCTCTCTGTCACTCTCTCTCCTCTCTCTCTCTCTCTCTCTCCCGTGCATCACAACCTAGTGGGCTGCACCGCATTGACGCTGCTGCTGCTGCTGCTGCTGGCAGCCGACCCAACCCACTAAACTAACGCACTGACAGCGAGAGAGGGAAAGAAACAGTCTTTTTTGGATGCTATTGCCCACAGCTGGGAACTGGATGCTGTGCGGATTGTGTGCATGGATATGCAGCATTTCCCTCTATCCCTCTCTTTGGCTCTTTCTCTCTGGATCCGGACTCTGATTCGCTGTCCTGCTCGGTAATGTCAAGACTTTGGAAACGGGAGTGACTCGTGGAGGGAGGCGGCGATTCGGAGGTTGCTGCATAGTGCACGACAAGACATTGGGATATAACTTACAAGTTTGCAGAGCTCGCATCATGAATGCAGCCGTTCACTTGAAACCGTGAGCTCCCCCTCTTGTGCTGTGTCCAACATGGGTGTTGACTGAACACTGGAAGAGTATCCCCGCGCTGCCACAGAGGTATGAGGATGCACTTGTGAGGATTAAAACTGCGCTCAATAATTCCTGGACCATGCAGTTTCTGCCGCCTAGGACGTTATTTGTGTTATTTGCCCATGCACATGTATTATTATCTCTAAGAAATAATGGAGAAGTGCGATCTAAAGAGGACAGCGACACCAGCGCATACTCTGCCAGGACTTTTCATGGGTCACTCCGGGAGAGTCATCAAAACAAACCCAGGGACCGTGCGCTCTCGCCGGGGTACGCCACAGGTGCGTCCTCGGCGGAACTGCCGGCGCAGCGGGCAATTATCAGAGGGAACTCCTCTCACCCCTGGAAAAGGGTAATTGCAGAAGAAACGTGGCGAATTGGGCACAACAAGCGCGACTTCAGCAGGACTGTGACACCCATGGAGGACCCCAACGCTGTCTCACACTGGGGCCCGACGCGCCACCACAATAAGAGGATAAAGTTGAATGGCGGTTTTGGTAGTACGGGGACGCCAGCAGGTGGACACTACAATGCTGCTAAGCCCTCTTCAATGGGCCGAGGAGACGGAGGAGGGGGTCCCGAGGAGGGCGACAGGCACAAGAGAGGCACAAAAGACGAGCAGAAGAAAGCGTCGAAGAGGGGGAGAAACCGGCTGAACAAAAGCTCAGTGCTCTTGGCTCAGACTCACGCGTCGCCGTGGGAACCCATCCCCAAACCGGTGGCCCTCACCTCCACCGACCTGCCCTTTGACCTCTTCACCAGGAGGACCGAGTTATTCACTTTCAGGGAGGAGAACCCCTGGGACGCCACGCCGATCACCCCTCCCAGCTCGCAGGATTTCGGGGACGAGATCAAGAACCCCTTTTACCCGGTGACAAGCGAGACTTACGGCGCTTACGCGATCACATGCGTCTCCGGGGTTATTTTCCTGGTGGGGATAGCGGGCAACATCGCCATCCTGTGCATCGTGTGCCAGAACTACTACATGAAGAGCATCTCCAACTCACTGCTGGCCAACTTGGCAGTCTGGGATTTTGTGCTCATCTTCTTCTGCCTGCCCATGGTGGTTTTTCACGAGCTGACAAAGTCCTGGCTGCTGGGCGAGTTCACCTGCAAAGTGGTGCCCTATGTGGAGGTAAATTTATTCTATTCCTTCTTGTGGTTTTATTCTGCTTTGAACGGGACACTTATTTCATATTGTAGTGGAGTTTTGAGGCAATGCCTATAGACTGTGTCGCCTCTGCAGAGATGACAGATGGTGAATGGGGCTCATTCAGTGTCATTTACATATTATCCAACCTTGTCTGAATGTGATCACACATCCATAATGACAATAGACATAATCTGTTGGAGTTTGGGGTGTGACAATGAGGTTTCACACTCTCCTTGCCTGAGTAAATGGACTTTAAGAGTTGAGTTTCAGTTTTTTTAAGCCCTGACTGGCAAGAAACCACACGGGCATGGCTATAGGATGTCAGCTCTGCCAATAACAAGGAGGGTCTGTTTGTCACTTGTACACCTGCTACTGGAGAGAGAGAGAGAGAGAGAGAGAGAGAGAGAGAGAGAGAGAGACTCACCTCCCCCTCAGGGCATGAATACACATCAGGATGTAAGATAATAGCTCACTATTTCCCATTCATTCCAACTTATACCTAGCTCTTCTTCTGTTGCTGTCACTATACTTACAGTTGGTAAAACATGTTACAGGTAATCTATATTCCTGCCCACACACACACACACACACACACACACACACTCGGTCTCTTCTTGTTTTTCTGTTCATGTGTAGTGGATGGATGCTAGGCAGGTTGTTTACACAATGTTGATACCTTCCCTTTGTGTGCCCACTGCAATTACACCAGTGTCAGATTCACCCGCAAGGTTGATGTCTTTTGTATGAAGCAGGGGTTTCCAGCTCAGGGGTCTTAAGCCTGTGTTTGAATGGCCATTGTCACAACCTGGCTTAAGGAGGGACAAAGAGGGGACACATCACACATGATTTTAAAGGTATGGCTTGACCCAAATGCATCATGTATTAAACATCTAACAAAACTGAAAGCAGTGAACTTATGGGTGGTGCCCGAGGTGCATGAGTGAGAGATGTGCTGTGCAATGCAGCAAAACCAGAAAAGACTAGAAGTCAGTGAAGTCTGAGTTTCTCCAGCTTCTATAGCCAGGCAGTGAGCCAGAACAGGTGACCAGACTCCGCCCTCCAGAGCCTGCAGACAGGGAGGGCTGTCACATAATGAAGTGATAATATGAGCCGGTGAACAGTATATTATTATCCTCACATTGCCCTCATGATAGACAGTCAGCTTTGATGCAAGAATTACCATACCTGAAAAGGTAGTCATCTAATGACAGACAGATGTAAAGACCAGTTTCTGGAGCTGCATCATGTAAGTTTATATTTACAAACCGAGCTTGTGTCTGGTCTTTTGAAATGCAGGTGTACTGTATGGCCTCTAGAAATGGATGACAGCTAGAGAATTGCGAATAGGCTTTGGAGTCACAACCCACAAGTCTGCAGCCTGCATGATTCCAAATTAAAGTAGGGTTGCTTGCATTTGCACCATCTCCTCTTCTTTTCTGCAGTCTCGCTCGCCAGCCTTTCTCCTCACTGACCGCACAGTGTAATATATGAACAGTTCTCATTTCATTTGGCAAACACCTTGTAAGTGCATACACTATTAATTATTGGTGGATCAGAGGGAGACAGTCCCTCCCTGTGTTATTGCATATGAGCTAGCCAAGGACCACAGGATATTATTTAATAACTTTAATAACATTATTACAGTGGAGAGACCAAATGGCCACTCTTAATGCAGAGGGTGTGTGCGTATGCATGTGTGTGTTTGTGGCGGAATGATTGTATCTGTGTGTATATGCGTTTTATAGTGCATATCTATCAGGACATGTGCATTCGGGCCTATCTGTTCATGGTGCCTTCAATGTGTGTGTGTGTGTGTGTGTGTGTGTGTGTGTGTGTGTGTGTGTGTGTGTGTGTGTGTGTGTGTGTGTGTGTGCGCGCGCGCGCATGTGTCAAGACAGGCCGTGAGTAATGCAGCCTGGGGCTCACTCTCTCCCTGTGGATCATTCAGTGAAACACACATTCACCCTATGGAGTGACTTTATTCTTCACTTAACCCAAATTCAGTCACAGGGGATATCAACGTTTGGCCTTAAAATAAAGACACACATACTCATTCACACATGCTTGAATCTACACACAGCACTCTCACACACAGGCACATTCACGCAAACATTAAGGCCAGCTTCACGTGTGCATGCATGCATAATCAGAAAGTGGTATAGATAATATATAGCAGTTCCCTGAGCGAGGAGACCCCTATGGTGCTGCCTTCAGTAAACTTAATTTTTGTTAAGTAAAGCATGGAATTTTCCAAACCTCAAAGAGAAAGCAATTTTAGGTGTGAGATGTGAGAAAACACGGCAGGAGAAATTGTAAGAGTGCTGCACAAAATAAAAATGTGGGTTACAGCCAGCCTTCATTATTTCAGACACACTCCTGTTTCATGCTGCTGTCATTGCAGACGACCCCTCTAGGTAGTGATGCACAGAGCAGCAAATTCAGGCAAAACTAATGGGCAATAATTGGGTTTTTTGCACCTGGCAGTTGATTAGGATAAGACTTGAAAGTAGGGTAAAATAACAAATAAGCAGTGCAGTAAGCATTTTGTAAGCCGGGGCGGAAAATTAGTCATTTGTCAAGGTTCATTCAGAGCTATGCTGCTGTAACGCAGTGATTTAAAAAACTTTCTGTCTCGCTGCCCCTAAATAAAGAGATGTTTCCAAATCATAATCTTGAATTGTGAACTCGAATAAAGTAATGCATATTGTTTATCTTTTTAGACTGATAAGCAACATAAAAACACAGCTTATTTATGAGAATATTTATCATGCTATTGAGTTAGACATTGCACATTTTGTTGTTGAATAATGCAGAATTAAAAGGCTGGATCAACAGTAATTTTGTCACATTTGTAAAACCCTGTTTATATGATTATCATGCATGTCTCTCATATGCAACAGCCTGATGACCACTCCCATTAGTAGACAGAAATGGCTGTTTTCACACCTTCTTTTTAAACCTGATTTACAGCTAATTGCCAGTCTCCGCCATAGGACATAAATCTAGTGACTCCCTAAAGGCTCATTCTCTCCTTTGTGGTACATTCGCAATTCTACTAACAGTCCTGCTATATCACACTTACCTTATGCTATATATTTTGAGCCACGATGGCTTGTCTTGATTGATAATATATGTGCAAAAATGTGTTTTTTAATTTCAAGTCCATATAGGCTACAAGGGTGTACTGTAGCTCGAAGTAACATTTCCCTCTTTTGCACTGCATTTCTCTGTGATATTCTGCCCTGCTGCACTCAACTGCATGGCGAGCCTTTCAGTTTGTGTGCCTCATCTATACATCTGGCTTCTACTGTGCTGTACAATACCCTGTAGTCAGAAACCGTAGGCTGACTTTGCTATGGTACTGTGGGCTTCATCAGACAGAGAGAGAAAGAAAGAGAGAGAGAGAGAGAGAGAGAAACAGACTATTGAAGCAGAGCAAGAAAGAGGCTGAGGAACGCGAGGGAGCAATAGATAAAGAATAAAGAGGGAGAGAGGGAGAGAGGGCCAGAGGTAGAACCATGTATTGTGCTGAAATTGGCGGTAATGGCAGGACATACATCAGCTTGACACATTCGCATGCACTGTTCCAACTCTCACATGCACACACACACACACACACACACACACACACGCACACACTTTCAAATAACTAAATCAGAATTAGAAATTCAAGTTGTGTAACATCCAGTATATGGAGAATCCAAACACCCTGTGGTGTAGAAAATGATAACTTCCCCAATCACCAGATATAATTATGGTACTATCACTGAACCTTTATGGGTAGCTCTGGAGATGTCCACATCTTTGTTATATCAAGAAAGTGAAAGAAAAGAGGTCCAGTTATATACATCCATCCCCATGTCTATATGTCTGATTGTCTATCTTATCTAGCCTGTACACACACACACACACACACACACACACACACACACACACACACACACACACACACACACACACACACACACACACACACACACACACACACATGCATTAAGTCAGTAGGGTGTACTGATCCTCCAGATGGGTGGGATGGCCTTCTCTCCACTGATCACTGCCCACGGCTCTTCTCCTTCTCTCTACCTCTCTCTCTCTCTCTCCCTCTCTCTGCATCAGCTATCTGTGATTAGAAGCAAGCCTCAGGGGGAAGACACACTCACACTCTCTCACACACACACACACACACACACACACACACACACACACACACACACACACACATTAGATACAGTATGAAAGCATTTTGGACACACACACACTGGGGTTATACGCTGAATGCGCAGTTAGAGTACAGACACTGTAGTGACACATAAACACAGAATAAGTACACAAACGCACACCAGTACTTGTGCCCTTTCTGTTTCTCAGCCCCGTCTATTAGGCACACGAATGATGGTTAATTGGAATATATGTGAATTATTCAGGGTATATAATTAGTGTCTCCATAATGCATGATGGTGAGTCCACTCAGTCAGCTCTTTGTCCGTGGATGAGTAGATATTGTGTTTTGTATGATGAGACAAGACCACACAACAACAGTATGAAGCAAAGATTAGGCTTGATGTTGTATGCAATTAAGCAAATTGATAATTACCCATGTAAATATGAAATATTCATTGGATGATTAACATTATGAATAAGGTATGTTGATGGATGGAGAAAAAACAGTGTATTAGTTTCAGTGTTTCAACATGGAACAGGCCGGCATGTAGCCAGCTTTCATACAGTAGAATAGAGGAAGAGAGAATATTGCATTTAGTATTGTCTCCAACATAACAGTCTTAGACAGGGATCAATGAACTGGAACCAGACTTTTTCAGCAGCTACTGTACAGTGAGAGCCAAATAAATTTTTTTTAATGTCCAGGGGAAATCTGCCACAGGTCAGGATATAATTTAATGGGAGAGACATTTATTGTGCGGAAGAAACTGCCTCACACACGCTGCTAAGGACTGTAAAAGGCAGAAGGCAACCAAGTAAATTAGAATATTGTTAGTGTTGCTACTAAGTTAATTAAAGAAAAGAAAGATGAACATTTGTGAGTGCTCGCCCTACTTATCCATGAATTATATGGATCTCTGTCCCTGGCTGGTGGAGACTGTTCCTTTTGTTCACAGAATAGAAAAGACTGAAAGTTCATTCAGTAGACAATCTTAGCACAAAGTCCATTCTGGAGCTTTCGATCACATCAATCTTCCTCCGCCGGTTGCCTGGCAACCTCCCGGTGACGACAGGACTCCAGGAAGTTACTGCGCCTGGCAAAAAATACTCAAACTGTCAAACTATTCCTTTAAAGTGAAATCGGTCATTTACGATTCCACCATCTGCAGAGTAGGATCATGTGATTGAAAGCTCCAGAACAGCTACTAAATGGACCTTGCTGTGAGAGGTCCACTTACTTTGTGTTTCTGAAGCTTTCAACCATCATGAGACAGAAATTCCTCACTTGTGTTATTTGAACAACTATCTCCATGACAACTCTGGGGATGGGTGTTGCAAATTAAACACTATGATACTTGCATTGGATTGGATGTCTGTGTTTACTGTATATGTCTCTATCAAATAAACCATAAATAAATAAATAAATAACATAGCAACTCCATGTTTTTGTCAAGCTAGAATAAAATAGAGAGTACAATACTATACATACTGTAACAGAGATAGAAAGCTATGTGGCCTTTTAAAGTTGTGTGCTCTAACATCATCAGAGAGGAATCTTTATCAGCCCACAAGGATGGATTTCACGTGTCTGTCTCCCATAATCCCACACATAGGCCCACATACACTCATATACACCATCTACACTTGTACACATACATACACAACCACAGTGAGACTCAAATTTTAATAATTCTGAATAAATGTTGACGTGCACAGACACACACATACTCATAAATGGCCGCACATACTCACATACATCAGTTTTCTGTCTCTTGCAGACACACGGCACAGCTGTTAGACGGATGGTGGCTGTCACAGGCAGGGTCTCTCTGGTTAGAATTATGGTCTGCTGCAGCCTGCACTGGGTCACGCACTCAACCTAGAAACAGAACTGCAGCTGGAATAACCCTTTTGTCTCCTTGGCTCATTACTATAAGCCTGTGTGTGTGTGTGTGTGTGTGTGTGTGTGTGTGTGTTGTTGTTGTTGTTGTTATATCTTTACGTTAGCCCATTCATCACCTGATAACACCCATTACCACCCTGACAGTGGCTGCAGTCACAGTATGGCCACACAGGCTCCACCAGTCCTTGTTAAGACCCAATTAATAACTCGAGGCCTTTGTGCCACCAGCTCACAGGACCTTTAATCAGGAAGTTAATGGGCCGTTATTAAAAACAGCAGCAGGGGAAAATGTCTTTCTCACCTGCTGCGCAGATAGACGGCCAGAACCTGAAAAACATGTGTTGCGGATGAAAGAGCTTTTTATGTTCTTTTTTCCAGCCCTTGAAGTCCAAGGTTGAGAAGAAATAGATGGTATGAAGTGGAAAAACGGCACCGAGCTACTTCACAAATTGTCAGTTTTATGAGCAGTGACTTTAAAATCTTAGTTGGCAAATCAGTGAGGTCAAAGGAAATAGTTGTATAAATTAATTACCAATTATAAATTGTTTATTAATTAGTTTATTAAAGGAATAATTCAACATTTTGGGGAATACGCATATACGCTTTGTGACTCAAAGTTAGATGAGAAGATCAACACCACTCTCATGTCTGTAGTAAATATGTGGCTACAGCCATTAGCTGGTTAGCTTAGCATATAGAGAGAGGCAGAAACAGTTATGGCTATGTCCAAAAGTAACACAATCTAACGTACGACACAAATTAGTATCAATCTTCTCATCTATCTCTCGGGCCAGAAAGAAAATATGAGTATTTCCCAAAATGTGGAACTCTTCTTTTAAAGAGAGAATGGGGGCATAGTAACCACATAAAGTAAAAAAAAAAATCATTGTCTTGTTCACTCTGGAAAAATGTATCATTGTTTTAAATAAGCAGACTTAACATTTAATGATAATATTTTAGAAACACCCTTTCCAACCTAGAGGCGAGCAGGTCTGTCATCTTGCCAGCAGGTAAAATGAACATGACAGGGTCAAGGCTGCTTGTTGGGAGAAATGCCATATTAACATTATTAATCATTCTGAAGATGTCGCGTTTATTTCTCACTTTGGACTGTCTCTAACTCACTGACGTGTCCCCCTGCTCTTGTCTTATATTCACTCCCTCATTTCTTTCTCTCATTCTTAGTTTCTCCCACTCTTTTTTCCTTTTCCATTCTTCTGCCCCGGTTTCTCAGTCCCTCATTTGCATAACCCCCTTCCACAAACACACACACACACACACACACACACACACACACACAGGCACAGCTTCATCACCCCACCAGGCCTGACTCTTGGACTCTCTCTCTCTCTCATCTCCCCTCTATTACAAAGCTATGCTTGTTCGTCCTGCCCTTGCTCTCCGCCCCAACACGCTGATCAAAGCTGGGTTTCCTGGTCCTCCATGACAGCCTCTAAAGCCGTTCCAGCCCTGTTGTTGAAGCCATGAAATATTCACCATGTGCAAGCACCTGTCCAAGTGTACTCGATGGGCATTTGTGTGTGTGTGTGTGTGTGTGTGTGTGTGTGTGTTCACTTAAATCCACCACATATACAGGTGCGCTTGATGTACTTGTTTACAGAGAAAAAAGTGGGTCATAGGTAGAGCTTGATATGATGCTTCTTTAACTATCAGAATAAAGAAAAAACGACTCTATTTTCAGAGGATGTAGGGTCAGTCTACAGAGGCCAACATATTTGACTGTTAATATCAGGCCTAAACCAGCAGCTGTCAAAAACTCCTCATTGTTCTCCACTGACACACTAAAATATATTCCTAACAAGCAATGTTATAGTGTGTAAACTGTGGATGGAGAAATAAATAGCAGACAGCAATTTTCCACAGACGGATGAGTCAGACAATGAAGTGAGCAGAGTTGCTGTGTGTATCAGCAGCGTGTTACAGGTGAACTGTTCTATTTTTCTTTTTGTATTTTGGCCATAGCAGAAGTGAAGAGAGGCTCCAGATCATGGTCTTTTCAAGGATGTTACACAATACATATATATATTGTGAATTGGATTTTGAACTTTTCCCTGAGTCAAGGTGCTCCGACTCCAGTTTAGATGGCCACTGAAACTCTATGTGTAATACATGATATGTCGCAAACAATTATGTTACAATGTTTAAGGTGCGACAGCTTGTGGTAAAATTGTAATGCCGACATGCATTAGTGCCTACATTGATATATAATATGCTGCTCAAATACAGTCCAAAAATCCAATATGCTGTTTAACTCTGAATTTCTTTGGACAGTTTTAACAACCTGTCCTCCTATGGTTCAATGCAATGCAAATTTAGTCTTGGCAGCTTCACATGAGCATGATTGACTTTCCCGAGCTCTTTATAATTTACCTTCTCTGTTGTTTGTACCAGTTAACAACACCTGTAGACGTTGATGAAAATGAGCTTTGCTCGAGACTGCTGCACAGTCTCCTGCGTTTATTTGATTTTTGGTGCCTGGCATTCCAAGCATGGGTAAGGACTTGTAAGATGACAACCTCTGCCAAGCGCACTCAGAATTTTGACACCTGCCCAAATCACCTAAGGGATTATTCTATCCAGAGTGTGAATAAAGCACTCACATAAACATGCTTAAATCTACTCCAAGTTGCTCCAGTGCATCACTTAAATACCTAATGGCTATTCATTGTTCTGCTTTGGATCATTTTCAAAACAATTCACTACAATTACAATTAGAGTGTCACGTGGCGGCAGGTAATAAACCGCCCTGGTCCAAAACACAGTCACGTTGATCATAGTTACTGTTCAGAGAGCTGGAGCCTGTTAGTGGTTTGTCTGCTCCACTTACCCCTTGCTGTTTCATATGGTCGCCCTTCATTAGTCTAGTTAGGACATCTATGTGTGTCAGAAGGTCAGTGTGTGCGTGTGTGTGTGTGTGTGTGTGTATGTCAGGCCTAGATACACAGAACATCTTGCAGTGTGTGTACATCTATATCTGTCCAGGAAGTATGTGTTTAGAGCACTAAAGCCATGGCTCACTGGGGCCATCTGGGAAGCTGGCTGTTGTAATTAAATTTTATACGAAGGGAGGAATGGAGGGAGGAAAGGAAGAAAGGATGTATAAAGCGGAACAGAGGATGAGAGTGAACAAAAAGATGACAGATAAGTGAGAGTAAGAGTGAGAAAGAAGGTGGGCAAGGTGAGACAGGGATGGAGGATTGGGGTGCGGATCAGTTCTGTTCTGGCTGTTTTTGTGCTGGAGGCAAAATCAGGGAAGGAACTAGTTCATGTAAGGACAGGAGTGCAAACACACACATACACGGACACACACACGCACACACACACACACTCCAGCTGCAGAGGAATGTTCAGCTGGGTGCCCACTCTGCCAACATGACTGTTAATCCAACAGATGCTTTCACATGCTGAGGAAATTTGTGAGCTCTCTGACAATTTACAGACTTTTTACATTGAGAACGTGGCGGCTGTGCCAAGGTAATTAGCTCTTACATGAAGGTCTCGAGCGAAACGTTAACATAAAAACGGCTGAATATTTAGGAAGTTTGCTAATTAATACGACTGTCATTGAACAGGAGGTGTGAAAACACAGTTGAATGAAAGAATGCAGTGACGGTGGCTTTTAATCCACCGTGCCACTTGCTAGCTGTGCGTGGTCTCACTCTATTTTGGTCTGTCTGTTCTTTGTTTTCTCACACACACACACATGCACTCGTTTAAGGATGCTACACAGTGTTAATAGCAGCTTACAGCCTTCCATTGTGCTTCTGTTGCTCCACTGCTTGTAATTACACCGGTGTCAGGTGCACCTAAAGGCCAGTACCATTACTGTGTGTCCTGCTGTTTATTTATGTGGTGGTGGCTGACTTGTCAACCGGTAGAGAGGCTTTTGTTTGTGTGTGAGGCGAGGGAATCCATTTGTTTACTTTACCGGAAGCCCTTATTTAAGATCCTGCAAGATAATGTCAGACATTTTGTACACTGGAGATAATTTTGTCAGTTCCTTGTTGTTCTTTTTATTCATTACCGACAACCTGCAGGGCTTGACTATAACTTGCAAAAGTGTCACATCAGTATTTAGCACGCAGCTCAGCCCATCTGTCAGAAAGATAGATGGTAGATTATCACTGGTATGAGGCTACTGTTAGCATAGCTCTAAGGCTTACTCTATTATTCTCCCCTACAGTCATGTGCATAGAGTTTTTGAAACGACTTTGATTCTGATGATGTAAGAACTTCTCTTTCTGTTTCCTCAGGTGGCCTCCCTCGGTGTGACCACCTTCACCCTGTGTGCTCTGTGCATCGACCGCTTCCGTGCGGCCACCAATGTCCAGATGTACTACGAGATGATCGAGAACTGCACCTCCACTACTGCTAAGCTAGCTGTCATCTGGATCGGCGCTCTCCTATTGGCCCTCCCAGAGCTCCTCATCAGGCAGCTGGTTGCAGAGGACACGGGAATGCCGGACGAGCCTCCCGTTGAACGGTGCATTATCAGGATATCCACCTCACTTCCCGACATGCTCTACGTGTTGGGCTTGACCTACGAGGGTGCTCGGCTGTGGTGGTGCTTCGGCTGCTACTTCTGCCTCCCCACCCTGTTCACCATTGGGTGCTCTTTGGTGACGGCGCGCAAGATCCGGCGAGCAGAGCAGGCCAGTGTGCGTAGCAACAAGAAGCAGATCCGGCTGGAGAGCCAGATGAACTGCACTGTTGTGGCACTAGCAATCGTCTACGGTGCATGCGTGGTGCCTGAGAACATCTGCAACATAGTTTCGGCATACATGGCGGCCGGTGTTCCTGAGCACACCATGTCTGTCCTCCATCTTCTCTCCCAGCTGCTGCTCTTCTGCCGGGCGGCCGTGACACCAGCGCTACTGCTTCTCCTGTGTCGCCCGCTGGGAAGGGCCTTCCTGGACTGCTGCTGTTGCTGCTGCTGTAACCACGCGCCATCCTCGGCCACGGCCAGTGACGATAACGAACACGAGTGTACCACCGAGCTGGAGCTGTCGCCGTTCAGCACCATCCGCAGGGAGCTGAGTAACTATACACCTGCCGGCTCCAACTGCTAAACTGACATTCCTCATCAGGGATGGAGATTTCACTAGCCTGCTCTCAGCCCTTAGCTAGTGTCAGACTCGTCTAGGAGAGATTTGCCTTACCTAGTCTAGTCGCATTTTTAAATGGGTGCATGAATAAAGTCGGACACTGAATAATCACATTCAGCCAGTGTCCTACATCCTCAACATTCATTTCTTACAATAATAATGTACATTTACAGTAACTGTATAACCCTTACTTTCCAGGAAAACTAAAAAAAAAAGCAAAATCTTCTTTTCCCTCATGCCCTGGGGTGCTCTTAAAACAGGGTCAGTACACATTTTTAGCAATCCTGCCTGAAACCTTTAAAACGTACAAACCTCCCCGCTGTAGACCTTGTATGCCTAAATATCTTTGGACAGTTGGCCTCTCTGACCTGTTTGATGTCTGGTTCCTCACAAGAGGTTTGAATCAGGTTAATTTCTTTAAATTAGCTTATTATGAAGCAGCAAAACTGAGCAGAAAAAAGTGCTGTGTTCCCCACAGGCTTCGTGCTCTGAGTGACAGGGAAAGGTAATAATATACTGTACAATGTACATAGGGAAATTATTGTACAGAATATGTTCTGTTATGAATAAAACAGTTTGTGATGATAACTGTATTTGGCCACCACAAATAATATGTATGTATAGGAAACTCTGTACTGTATATCTGAAGGGAGAAATAATTAAGGCCAATCACCTTCCAGATGTGTCATTGTTAAATTTATGGGGACTAATTAATTATGGTACAACCTTGTATAATAACTCAAATACAGCATCCAGCTAAACATGTGGGCTGACACTGCCTATAGAAATACAGGACTCAGTTTACAGACTCCAAATGTACAGTTCATATAATGCTGAACACATGGGAACAAGGCTTATGATAATTAAACTAGTGCAGGGCGTCTCTGCAGTAATGACCGTTTGCAAGAGGAAAACACAGCGAGGAGAGAGTGGATTGGAGAATCCAAATGTACAAAACAACACTGACACTGTATATTGCAAAATATCCAGTTGACACAAACATAACTGGGCTGGTCTCAGAGACACATAAACATGGACGTGAGTGGAATTAAAAGGTTTGAAATGGACTAATTGAAATCTAATTAGAGTTGAATGGAGTGGAATGGAATCGAATTAAACACTACAGATTCAATTGAATGGAGTGAATATGAATAGAGTGGAAAGTAATGGAACATAACACCATGGAATATAATGGAAAGGGATGGACTCCGCATGGACTGGACTGAAAATAAATATCTGCACTACACTGTTGTATCATGTTACGCCTTACACTTTGGGCTGTATATATACTGTACACTTTCTTTGGTGCTCTTAAGATGAATGCGCTGTAAACAACAAATCCATCGGTTCGACTTAGAATCACAAGTAATTGAGCTGCGTATTATGTTTTTGGTCAAGAAGACAGATTACAGTTATCTGTGACTCTGGGATATATGAAGAATAGTGAGGTAAGAGAAGAAAAAAAATCAATGTGGAGTTTCACAGAGCTGCCACGGACACAGTTCAGAGAGATCTCCTGAATCTTTGAGGATAAATACTGCTTTTGTTGAGAGTGACACCTAAACTTTAAGTATGGCAGCATTTTTTTTTACAGTACAGTAATTACTCAGTGTTTACTAGGTCACTGGTGAATACTCATAAATGAAAAGCTAATTGCTTGTAATTAACATTGTAGATCTTGAGAGATTGAGACTTCTATAGATGCAATAAATCACTCGTATCTACACATTTTATTATTACATTGGTACAGAAATATAATTGCTGGTAGTTAGTTCTGTTATGTTTATATATATACATATTAACACAGACAGTAATAATTATTTAGTAGGTAATCAAAACATATTAAGTTATTATAAACAAAAAAGTGCCAAAAACTGCATAATTACATTGTAAATACAACTGACGGGCTGTAAATATACGGAAAATTATATATTTGTACCAATAATTACTGCAAAGTTTAGAGTAAATACAAAGCAGCTGTTTCATTTTTGTACAAGTTATTTATTAACAATTCCTGAACTGTAAAATCAAGTGCTACCATAAGTGTGTAAATTACCTTGAAGGCAAGAGTGGCAGAGTTTAGAGTAATGCTGGCGACTCTGTCCGGCTGTTTGGGTAATGGATATGAGAAGTTTACCCTACAGCAACCCTGGTGTCACTGTCACCTGAGATAATGTTGTGTTTGCAAATTGGTAAGACCTCAATCCTAAAAGCCATTTCTCTTAACGTTAAAAGTGAAAACAAGAGCAGCCCAACACAGTTATGTTAAAAATAATAGTATAATAGTCTGACATCACATTTTTTATAAATATACTTACAATACACAAGACCAATGCTGTTGACCTCCGCATATATCATCAGCTGCTGGGAATGCTCACTTTATGCTAGGGACCTGTTAGCTTTAGCCTCAGTCTTTCTGAATAATCATGTCACCAAGTGCATATTGAAGACCCTTTTAAAGGGTTGCTGTTTTAAAATGAGTCGGTGAGAAACATTAAAAAGTCAGCCGGCGACACCGTTTTCAACAACCTCTCGCTGCTAATGTTAGCCTAGTTCGCTAGCTTCCAGCCACAGTGGCACAATTGACAGTCGACAACTAGAAATGAGAAGCTGCGCTTGTCTTCTTCTGTCTGATACGAAGGACCAATTGTGTCAATAATTACAAAGAATTTTGAATGATAGGCCAAATCTACCACTGGTATTGTAAAGGGAATATGTGCCACGCGAGAATAGGAAGCTTTACGGGCGTAGCAACAGTCACTAAATTAGTTATTAGTGGCTTCTTGACCACTAATACCCTTTGCGGTTTCATTACTTGAGTTTTTTAAGGAGAGCCAATGAAATGTTTTTCACAGTGTATAAATTTACAAGTGTATTGTACTGTAAATCTGTTTTCTTATTCCTACCAATCAGACCTGGGTCAAAGCAAGGTTCAAACCACCATTACACCTTATTACAATGCAGGTAATTGAAGTTATACTGAAAAGTGAACAGCCCAAACATTTGATACACATGCTAATATGGCCTCTGTCGATGACCAAAATCACTCTTAAAAGCCTTTATTTTGTTTGGTAAACTTATTCTAATTCAATTTCTTTAAATATTTATAACTAAGATTAATGGTGGCTAGCTCTGTGATGACCCAGGTGTGATGTTCATTGGTATACTGTATATTGCGATGAATCTTTTGCATACGATTCTGCACTGCCAAACACCTTCTCTCTGTCTGTCTCTTGTGCTCTTGTGGTAGTAGCACACTATCTCTGGGTGTCTCTCTTAGCATGGAGGTCAGTTTGCCCTCAGCTCCATCAATACAGGAATATTACTACAAAAGATAAATCACAAAAGGTTTGACAGCACCCAAGGCCTGTCATACTCATATATTCATTCACTATAGACAGAAACTGTGGGAAAAGGGTGGGGTTTTTCCTTCCACGGCTGGAGGCAGCAACCCACTGGCTGTAATGAACTCCAGTTTATGAGCTCCAAGAGATCCAGGTGGATGTAGCCTCTGGTTGGCGCCGCCTGCAGTTCTTCAAGTTAATAGAGGAGATTGGCAGGAGCGTAGCAGCACTGCAACACAATGCCCTGCAGCCTGTTTGACAACTCTTTTTATTACCATCACTATTAGGGTATTGTGGACCAATGTGTAAACCTGTCCAGGGAGTTTATATGCCCTTGCACCAGCCAATTCCTACCATAAAATCACTTTTTTTTTTTTTGTATTTAGTTCAGTGAGTTTAGGTCTGTTTTTTGATGCAACGTAAGTGTAAACTGACCTCCTAGATCTGATTATCTTTTTCTGCATATTTCTGGGAGTATAGCTCATTCTTAATGGCTCAGTGTGTAGTAACGTGGTTCAAACTATTGATGAAGTGATTCTTGTAAATCAGTCAGTGAGACGTTTATTCTGAGTTTTGTGAGTATCCTCTTCACTCTGAGCAAATTGTGTCTGTATTTGATACCTGAAAATGTAAGCACACGACCACTATTGTCTCTAAGTCTAGTCACTGGTTTCTAAATAGCTTTTTATATAGCCAAAAAAACTGTCCCTTTGTTTATCAAAGAACTTTATCTTGAAAACTGTATATTAAAATCCTAAATGTACTATTACCTTTGTGTTGTTTTATTGTGTGCTTCATTCATTTCTGCAAAACTTTCTGTGATGGGAGTATACCAAAGACAGGCTAAGTATTACAGTGCCATCAGCTTTAATGCTTTATTGGTTTACTTGACTAAAACAGAACTCTTTAAGATCCAAAAATCTCCTACAGCATATTCAAAGCAAAGAAATAATCCAGCCTCTTGTCTCCATGCCAAAGAGATATTGACATGGATATAATGATGTTAAAGGGGTACTCTATTTCATATTTGTACTCCATAATGTTGGGAGACTGGTTTTCTAAAAAGAACATTGGATCTTACAGTTCCTATAATGCAACTCAACAGTTGCAGTACAAGAATTGAGAAGTGTTTTCACAGTCTTCCCATGACAGGTGACAAAATTAGAAGTCGCTTCAAGTATAGTTTTTTAATTATCAACCAAAAAATGCATAACGCAGTTTCATATACTTCATTCAGAATATTAAATATAAGGGAAATAAGTTCTGCAGAGGTGCCGGAAAAAGAAGAAAACATGTAGACATAACACATAAAATTTTAAAATCTCCCATCTCTCAAAAAAAATCTGAAAAGTTTTGCTTGTTGTTACTTCACTTGGATGTTTGCGCTCCACTGTGCAGAATGATGTATGTGCAGAGTTTGACACTAGAAGGCTGCTTTCACATTACTCTGCTGAAGGGGGAAAGTTTTTCTGCGCTCAGTTTAATATATATGCGTTACATTACAATTTTGACAACACAACTAGTTTGGAAGACAGTCGCGGTCCATGCAACTTTAAGAAGTCTGATGTGGAAACTTGAACCCACATACACATACATTGAGAATTGACTTTTCAGTGAAGTAGGAGACATCTTGTATCTACTTCCATTTTAAAGAAGTACCATATCTGCATATATACCTGCAATGAACTAGTAGATGTAATTCGTAAGATTTCTTTAATGTAATACAACGTTTTGGTGAAAAAACCATATGAGACTAACTTTGAGAAAACATTTGTCACCACGCTACTCAAGTGAGGTGTGTGTTTATACCTTGAGGATCACTTATTTCAGACCAAAGCTGAAAATTATGCATTTTTCCTTCTTAGGTCTAGTTTATCCACGATTCACTCTGAAGTAGTAAAAATAACCTGACATGAAGTCACACAGACTGACAGGTGACACAATCATTTAACAGTTTTGGTGACCTGCCAACTTGTGTCATGTCAACGCTGCCATAACCTCACGGAAAGAAATCTAAACTATCTAGAGACTGACAATGCATGAATGTAGGGCTCAAATCTTCACTGTGCATCAGTATAGGGACTAGTCTGCAACTTGAACACAACAAAGAAGGACTTTAACAATGGACAATGCACTCAATGTCATTAAAGCCCTCTGCTGGCATTTTTATGTCATTTATTAGTTTTCTGAGTCATTTCCTGGCAATGTTGATTAGCCTAATTGTTCACCAAATAACTTTTTTGTGCTCAAAGTTAAAAAATAGAAGCTGTTGCTAAAATGGGACAATGATGCAATGAAGCATCGGTCAGCACCCTCAGTTAGGACTGAATAGGGTCAGCCCAGGGGTGCCAGGAGCCAAACCCATCAAGAAAATGACCTTGGTACTGTAAAAATCCCCCACCTCATAACTTATGTTACGTCCGCAATCTGTTTGCCACGGTGATGGATTACACCTTACTATCAACCACACCCTCATTTATCTGTTGGAGAAAGAACTTTCACAGAAAAACAGGAAGTAACACCGGCTGCAGTGTAGGGTCAAATATGTAAAACAGAATGCAATCATTCTATAATGTATGAAAGAGGTATGTAGTGCACAAGCTTAACTACAGAAATGAAAGTGAAATTGTCTTCTGAAACATGGAGTTCCTCCTTGGGAATAAGTCTCAGAGTGTGTCCTCATGTCCTGATTTCCTTAAGATCCTCCTGTGTCTTCATTTTTCTTCCTCCTCACATAACAGAGGACCCTTTAAAATATTCATCAGCGATGTATCACAGTGCTCTGTTCTCCCAACACATCCTACACACCCTCTCCCTCTCTCTCTCTCTCTCTCTCTCTCTCTCTCTCTCTCCTCTCTATTGCCTTTTCTTTGTCTTTTGCATCCAAAGTGTTATACAACGATGACGACAGCGGCCGACGTCCTGGGTCTGTGCTTGCGATAAGGACGCCGAGCAGAACTGTTTATACCTCCTGTAACAGAATTAGCTGTCGTGTTGGAACACTGAGCAGATGCCAGAGAGCTTCCGCAACCACCAAAGACGTCTTGCTCGGTACCCCAGAGGACGCCGCTCACTCCCACTGTTGTGAGGAGGTGGTCTATTTCATTTTTTTCTCTTTATTTTTTACTCATGTCAAGACAGAAAGTGACGGTTGGAGAGATGTGAGGAAAAAAGAAATAAAGAAGCAGGCGAGGAAAGGAGGAAAGGAAAAAGGAGATCTTAGAATTAGTCTCAGCACTTTTGTGTCGTGACTTTAAATGACATTCAGAGGCAAGACAGCAGAAAAAAAACAGCATTCACCTTTACAAATCAGAGTAAATATATTTTCAAACAGATTCAAATATGCTTCACTTGAAGTGAACTTGGTTCATCTTCTTTTACACCTCGAGAGCTTCAATTGGGCTCCTGCAAATTATTAAAATGACACAAAATGACACATTTGTATTAATTTAAAAGACTGAAATGCATTTGGGAAGCTGTATTTTTACTCCATTATTGTCAAATGAACTGCTCATTTTGCACTTTGATTCAAATCCACCAACTATCTGTCATTTATCTCTCAGACAGAAAATGAGAAAGCCCAATTATGCAACGTCTGATGAAAACTGAGGAATTGTTCACTTTGAAATGTACCACAATTCAGGCTTTTATCCATTATCTCCCCGATCTCCTCCCTCCTGTCGCAGAAGAAGCACTGCACGGGTGTGTTTATGCGCGTGTGTGTGTGTTACGAGGCATCTCGTCCCAAAAAAAAAAGCTGACAGGCAATGTGCCGCTCATCTTCGTAATTTCCCCCAAACAGTTGGCCTCCTGCCAGTGCACTCACTCGCGCTCAATCAGCCTCAATCAGCAACATACTTGCTGTAAGTGTCTACAGCCCTGACTCTGTGTGTGTGTGTGTGTGTGTGTGTGTGTGTGTGTGTGTGTGTGTGTGGCTGTTTATCTGTCTTTTTGTTGTTTCATTATGTGATTGTCTTCAAAAGTCTTTTTTCCCTGATTCAACTTCCTATTGTGGCAAAGTCTTTTCATGATCAAACACTAAGAAGTTTTGATCCACTTTTTTCCACTGTCACTTTTTAATCTGCTTCTATTTTTGGGCTCTGAGGGCCCAATTCTAGGCCTCGCTTATACTGCAGTTATACAACAATGTACAGCCGTGTGGTTGCAGTGTTCCCATTGCTGGAATAAATGTGTCACATAAAATGTTTTTCGATGGCCACGGATTTCTATCATAGACAAAAATCTTGACAAGCTTCCAGTAAACAAAAAGATAAACTGTATTGTTTTATTGTAGTTGGATTATGAAGCAGACAGAAGTATTCCCCCCTTTTCTTTGATGGTTTCTGTCTTTCTTGCCAGTACATATATATCCATATATTAGGTTAAGTAATGAAATGAGTCAGTAGATACGGTTTCAGTAAGGTGACCGAATTTAAGTTCTGTCAGCATCAGCTGATGTCGAACAAAATGGGGATAAAAACGTGGATAAGGTTACTTCAGTGATGTGATGTGGGTGACATTATAATTTGTAACTCCCCACTTTTCTTCCAGTAAGTTACACACACAGTTTATTTCTGGCTGTGGATGACATCAGAAATCATCTGATCTGAGCTTTCAACCTATCGAGATATACTGTCCAATTTTACCAAAGATAGCTAGCAGAGGAGCTGGCTCTGTTTGTTTTTTTTTTTACAGTATTTTCTACTTGTCAGTGTATGCAAAGTGGCTAAAGTGTGGCTGGTGGGGAAATATGGCTACCACTGTTGCTGACAACATGTGTTTATCTATCACGTTTCTTGGTGCATGCAGTATTTTTGGTTGTACACAACATCAAAATACATCTTAACTGTTTTGTTGTGTAGTCCCACTATAGTTTGTGTAATCTGGTATATATTTGTTGTTGGCCTTCCAATCCATAGAGGGGAAGGCACATAAAGCCTATTTTGAGATTCTTCTTCTCGCTGCAGGTTTTAGTGTTTGTTCAGACACACGCCCACCTTTCTGTTTTTGTGTAGCTGGGCATTCATTAACACGAAGTTCCAGCCAAGCAATCTGGCCGGGCTAAGGTTTTTCTGGCTGTGCTTTATGAATGGTTGCTAGGCAACCAGAGTGTAAAGTTACCATTTCTGTAACTTTTTTCCTACTTTCCCTTTTCTGTTGTGTATCTTCCATTGAAAAAGACCAGACATTCAGGAACCATGCTTTAGTAACCAATGTATGAAAGTAATGCTAACTGGCTAAATTCACTAGGAGGATCTATTGGCAGGCAAGGAATATTCATTGGTTCATTCATGTTTTCATTAGCGTATAATGGACTAAAAATAAGAACCTTAGAATGAGCCGTTTTTATCCACAAGTTTTGGTCCGAACCATGTTGAATCGCCATGTGTCTACAGTAGCCCAGAATGGAACAAACACTAGATGTAGATTCGTGGGTTTCTTTTGTGTTTAGTTTCTTTTGTGCTTAGTTGAGTCAAGATTGAATGATCAATGACTGAATATGTGTTATTTTAAAGTGTCTGTCGAGTGTTGTAGCATCTTTTAGCTTATTGTTTTGGTTTAGAGCCTGTAACTTTAATGTTTTGGTTCACTCTTACCTCTCTCTCATCACTCCTTTTTTTGCTGTTTTTTTACATTCAACGGGGGGCCAGAAACCTCTGGCTATTGTTGCTGATGTCTGCTAGTTGGATAAATAAGCAACTGTCAGCTAACATCTACAACAAATATACCTTAAGGCGATAATGTGTCAATGTTATGTATGTTTTCAGTTTCCACTGCCCCAAAATGGTCCAAGAAATCAAGTAATACTGATTTAACACAGATCTCAAATCTTTATTAAAGCAACTTTTTGCAAACAAAGAAATACTTTAACCATTAATCATGCAACCTGTTGATTGATAATGAAACAATGAAGTAATTACATTTTGGGGTAATGGCATTGGAGAAGTCAGCAACTAAATGAAATCCAACTTTGCTATGTAGTAAGGCTACAGCATGGCAACCCCTTTCATGTCAACCCCTCACACACAAACACACAATACAATGACAAGCAGATAGAAAACATGCCATCATCTAGACATTCAAGCAGAAGCAGGCACATGTATGTGTGCATACACACACACACACACACACACACACACACACACACACACACACAACCAATATTATATTTCAGTATTTACTAAGTGAGACTTTTCATTTTGAAGATTGTTATATTGCAAAGATATATTGAGGTTGTCCTTTGGGAACTGCTCAGTAATATCTCTCCCTATTTCTCTCTCATTCTCCCTCTCCCTCTCTTTCTATACCTTTCTCTCCTGCCTCCACATCCATTCTTTTCTCCTCTTCTCTGAGCTCTATCCTGCCCTCTCATACATTTTAATGGCAGCAGTTTGATCCGGCTGGTCAAAAAAACATTCAAATGCAGCCGCTCGTGTTGAATAAATACATAATTTAGCAACACAAGTCAACTACTGTTCAGTGTTGTGGAAAAGACAAGATAAATATTTCACTTTCTGAAGAGTGGGTAGAATGGGATTTAGTCAAAGATGAGATGCTGAGTTGTGTGAGGTTGCCGACTCTAATAAGTGTTCCTGTTAGAATAGGTTCCTGGTTTCTTGGTGGGCTTCTTTAAATGCAACAGAGAACCCATGTTGGGAGGCTGTTCTTCACAGGTCTCATGCATACAATTTTACCTAACAGGCGTAAGAAAATGGTTTTGAATAATAAAAACACCAAGCATGTGGTAAATGATGCCATTTTGGTCTCCTGGATCTTTTCAAAGGAGAGGGGCAGTTATTTTACTCCAAGTTCCTTCAACATATCTAACCTCCTCCTTACCTGGCTGCAAAACTCATAAAAAACCCACCCTAGGGTCTTGGGCCAGTGTTTGATTTGGCGGAAGAAGACCTGCTCCCTTTGTAGATATAAACAGCTCATTCTAAGGTAACAAAAACACAGCAATTCTTATTTTCAGATGATTCTAAACTAATGAAAACATAATGTTATATTCCATTTCTGCCAATAGAAAGCCTTACCTTCTAAACAGCAGCATGATAACATTGTTATTGTGAGCATGTTAGCATGCTGACAGTAGCATTTGGCTCAAAGCACACAAAGCTTAAGTACAGCCTCACAGAACAGCTAGCATTGCTGTAGACTCTTTGTCGAGATCACTCTCAGCTCTCTTCATCCCAACGGTCCAGTCCACCCACATAACTGCAGACTCTGCATCAATCCACCTGCCTTTCTCAAATTCTAACGTCTCCTCATTCAAGGATAAGACTCAAAGACATCTGACCTTATTCACTTCACTTTGTTAGGAGTAACAAGGTAGTGAGGGAAACAGTAATATCTACAAACACCAGAAAACGATCAATTGCCATTCCCGGAGAACTCATCATGTTGTTTTGATGTACTTTTTTAGAAAACTCCCACATGGCAGGTTGCTGTAACTCTACTCAGTAGAAAAGCACTGTTGTGTTTGTGTGTGCGTGTGTGTGTTCATACTTGAGTTGATTAGTTTTATGTATGTATGATTGTCAGGTCTATTAAACACTACATTTTGCATATGAATACAGAATAATTGCCCTTTTCCCTAAAGTGCACAGCATCTCACATTGCAAAAAAAGTGAATACATTAATTTGCACACTAACACGTTCATTCTCGTTCCAACATTTTGTGCCAAACAGCATCCAGGACACCTTGAAAACCTTCATTCTTTAGTGTGCAGTGCAGCAACACCCTTACACAGATGAGCACATGCACAAAGGCGGATTAGGTCACACACACTTTGCCGCTGATCATGTTTATGTATAAGACAGGACCAGTCGAGATGTGACTCAGTGGGTCGAAACCTCATCTCCTACTCATTTCCAGTCTCTGTGACTCGACATGTCAGTTGGATGTAAGTTAACACGGGTGAGAGCGAGGGCTCTCAGTGTCACTCTGCACAATGTGTCTTTTTTATTGTCTCCTTTGTTCAGCTAAAGACAATCTTCCTGTCCCTTAAGTCTGGTCCTAAACTGAAAAATGCACTTCAAAGCCATATTAGACCCTTTTCTTTACTTTTGTTGTGTTAGTCATTTGCTGCAAAGATTGTAATGTAGGTTTTTTGAGAGAGAGAAAAAGTGTTATGAAAGTGTTAAGATATTCATAATTATTTCTATGAAATTTGAATTCTAACCTTGTTGCATTAATGGTTGAATAGAATAGAGAAAATATGTAAGAGAAGCCTGTGCTACAGTCATTAAAAGAAAATAGTATAGAAGGGTCATAATCACCTTATTTTTGTGTGCACAGCCACCTACTATCCCAGGGCACCTGATTACCTTGTTGCTATGGATACCATTCAGCACTATAACCTCCCATCTCATGACAATTAAGGATATATTCAAGTTGCTTCGACTCAAAGCAGGTTGCATCTCAATTCAGGATCTACAGTGCATGGTGCTTTCAGTGGCTCTCATGAGGCACAGGCATAAAAATCAAACAAAGTAGATGGTAGGTTAGCTTTGATTGTTTCTTCCTTTGTGTTTGATATATGTACAGAAGAAACACCTTTAATGATGATAATTCATATTTCCATATTTCTTTAGCTACATGACATTTTCAAGGATTCAAAGGTTTATTTGTAACATACACAAGTAATATCGTGCAATGTATGCAAAAACTAAGATATAAGTCAAAAAATGCAGTGATGCAGTGCAAAGGTTTCTCAAGACAATGTGCTACATCAGGCCGATATACAGAGGTCAGAGGACAGAATTCACCATCCTGATGGCCTTCGTCTCACTGTGTTGGACTGGTGGATACAGTGAAAGTGTTTGCCTGAGTGTAGAAGTTAGATAGTCTATTGCTGGGGTTTTAAAGGTTATATATACAAGATTTAAACAACAACAGCATTGGAGATTGTGTTGAAGGACTAACAAAGACAGCTTTGATAAGATTTATTGAATAAAGTGTTATTTTATCATTTTGTCTATGGATTCTGGTAGTGAGCGATAGCGATATAACTGCTTCTGATTAAACAAATGCTTCTATTCTATCAATCGTCACTGATCCTTTCCATAATGCTGTCAGACAATAACAATCTGAGCCTGTCAGTGGCAAAAAAAAGAACTTTTAGTGGACGTACTTTGACCAGCCCAAAGTTTAGCTATCATTACATGGCAGTTGTTGGAAAGGTAGAAACAAAGACTGTTTTGGTGAGCTTTATTTAGGTTTTTTTCAAGTTTGAAACAAGTGTTTTTTATGATCTGGGGGGTAAAATTTGTGTTTTTGTCAGTGGAGTACAGTGGGTCGTAGCGTCCATTCATTGGTTTTGATCTGAGATGCAGTTGCTCTAGTCTGAAAGTCATATACAGCAACTTTGAGGATCCTTCATAATCCTCCCAGTTCTGGCTCAAGTTCAGCACAGTAGGAAGCATCGGAAAGTAAGTTCGGCTAAGCAACTTACTTGCTGTAGGGCTTTACGGTCCTTAGCAGAGCAGTCTCTATACCACTTGGTGATGTCCCCCTCTTAGGATGCTCTCCACAGCACCAGAGTAAAAGGTCTTCGGAATCCCCCAGAGAGACTCTGAATTTCTTCAACTGTCTGAGGCGGTAAAGGCATTCCTCTCACCTTCTATGCCAAAATGTGAGTAAAATCCACAACCAGCTCCTTGGTTTTGCTGACATTTGGACAGCAGTTGCTGGCTCTACACCTGGGTGAGTGACAGGTGCATCAGAGTGCAGCAGAAATCCTGAATACTGTCTTGCTTAATGCTTGTTTAGTTTGTATATTTCACATTTATTTCAGCTATACAGCCTACTTTACCAGTGTATACAAAGTGGGGGTCATTTAGGCCAAAACACTGACTTGAAAAAAAATCCAGTACATAGCAAGGCAGCTTGGGGTTAGAAAGAGGTTAAAAGCTTTAATTTGTTGGCTGGAGCACAATAAGTTCAAAGATTTTTAACTTTACTTTTGCAGTCTTCAGGGAGCATAAAGCTTTAACTATTCCAAACACCAGATTAAATTAAATTGAATTGAACTGGCTGAAAAGACTGCATTGTTAAGAATTTCTTTTAGACTGAAATGTTTTCCATGGCTTGGAACCTTTTAAATATTCAAGAAGTGTCAATGTGAATTGAATATTGCTCAATATTTTTCTCAGATAACAAAGACCTGTTTCTTACAGATACACCCTCGTTGCTTGATGGCAGAATTCTTGAACCATAGGGAAAGGAGTGGGCTATTGTAGCTTTTGTTTGCCGTGTCAATCATTTCTAGGTCACTGGGAGAACTGCATGCTTGGATGGGCTTGAGACGTGCTCAATGAAGGATCTCCACATCACCATTCCCATGTGTGTGCGGATGTATGTGCATGCCTGTGTGTGTGTGTGTGTGTGTGCAGTGAAGCAAGTTACCTTCATCCCAAACCCAAAATACACACAAAGTCGCACAAAAAAATCTCTCTGATACAGAATTCAGCTCATCAGCTTTCATGTCTCAAGCTCAACACACACATTGCCCACACACCACCTAGTAGTAGTCTTTCTTTACCTGCCGTCGCTTTCCATCGCAGAGCTTTGAGCTGCTACTTTGTTAAAGCACTGAAGCTGACGGGGATCTGTTTCACTTCAAAGGTCTTTTCTCCTCCCTCCTCCACTAGGGCTGAGCCTGAACTGCCGGTCAGCACATCAGGGATGGCCTGTTAGAGAAAGGGCATGGTGGACAGTGACTGAAAAAGTCACAGTCAAATAAATCTGCTGGCATTGCATTTCATAGCTTATACACTGCAAACATACATGTTCTTGGCTATTGATATACACTGCTTGTTACTGTGAGTTTGGTAATTTGCCGTCACCACAACTGGATCCATGAAAGAGAGACAGCTCGCCCTCGACCTTTCTTTGTGTAATGCAAGACAAGCACAGTGCATGGGTGCTGCCAATGACTCAGCAGTTGTTGAAATGACATGAGTGAAAAGTAACTTCTAGTGGGAATCAGGGCTAATGTCAGCAAGCTAAGATAACTAGCACGATGGCTCCTCCAAAAAGTTGAACTTCGCCAAGGAACTAATGGCTATAATTGCTAATGGCACAGAACCAATGCTATGTGGACCTTTTTTTTTAGTAGTATCAGCATTCATGGGCAATACACGGCTATGACATACAACATTCATCATTAAAGTTTATATTTACTTACACAAAAAGTTAGAATTTAAATCAACTTGAAAAATATTTATTCCTTCATATCATTGTTGGCGATCCAGCATATCACTTCTGTTTTGTCAGAAAAATAGATGATGGAGTTTGGGTTGAGTCAAGTGTAGTGTAGTGATTCTGGTGGAAATTCTAGGTGTTAAGAATAACTATACAGAAGAAGCCAATCTTCTTCCTGATTGTTTGGTTTGTTTATGCAGGTTTGCAAGATTGATTGCACAACTCCTGGAGCCTTTTAAATGTTCAAAAAGTGTCATTCATTCAGTCATCCATTATTATATATTTATTGCTGAGTTTCTGCTCTGACATATACAGTACATTATGCATTGACCCTACCCATGTGAATTCAAAAATCTTATTTTCTTGAAGCAAGAAAAGAACTTCAAACAACTCACAACATCATTTTGCAAACTCTTCCAATGCATTATTTATAGAAAGAACATTTGCACACTTCAATTTAAGATGTTTAAACATGTATCAGTCCTCCAGCAAGACATAATACCACATTTAAATTCTGGCTGCAAATGATGGAAGGCTAGTAAACAAGTTAAATATGCAACCCTTCAGCAGACAATAATGACTTGGCTCACAGTAAAGACACTATGAGATATTTAAGTTTCTACTAAGCCAAGATTTGATTGATTCTCATGATGGAGTTTCAAAGAAGTGGGAGCCTCAGTCAACAAAATGAAATACTGAATAACAAAAAGCACCACTTCTAACTGATTGAAAGAACAAGCTAAAAACAGACCATGGAGAATCAAATCATCATTTAAGTTAACAGTGACTAGTATGGTTATGTATAAAGCTTATTGTTTATGGTTTAACACCCACAAAATCTGGATTACACATTTTTGAAAAAGAAGCAGAGTAATTTGAACTGATTTTCATCCCTCATTTCATGTCTTCCCCCAAAAAACCCTGCATTTCCTCCTGCCAGAGCACAATGGTCACAGCAGTCTACATTAAATAAGGTCTTGTTGTGATGAGCACAGTTCAGAAAAATGCTTCCAGTTATGGAAAGAGAAGGGGGAAATGCAAATGAGCTGCTGATTATGCACCAGAGTTGCTCAAAATAAGTTAAAAAAAATATACATAAGTGGGTGAAAGAGTGTCGTGTTGCCAAGTTTTATTTTTAAACATGATTTTCACCTGCATTTTGTAATGCCAGATTGTTTTCTGATGTTGTTGTTTTATATGAGATTTTAATTTGATTCATTCCATAAAACAATGACATGAATTTGACCCCATTTAAATGATGTCAAGTGAGGAATTTTGTACAAGCAGAACTAAAATAAATTACCTTGAAGTATTCATTCCTACAGCAGATTAGCCTTGTTTGGTTCAGAGGGTAGGCACTATGAGAGCTTTGTCTGGTTTAGCTCCAATTAGGCTGTCCTGTTTGAGATTAAGAGATCAGAGGAGAAACTCCCCCCAATATCCCCAGGTTTTATGTCAAAGGCTCACCAGGTTGTGCACGAAGCCTCTCAAGACAAAAGGGAAAGATTCTGGAAAGCTTCTTAGTCGTAAGTGACAGTTGAGACTCACTGTAGAAACCCTGAATCGACAAATTTCGGTCATGAGCTGAGCCATTGTTAAAGTTGTGAGTTACACCGGTGCTTTCCTTGCTATAGGGAAAGCACTGTCAAAGGGGCCTGTTGGCACCACGGCTGCACCTGATGAGATGCTAGAACACCACCTGCCACTGTTTGATAATCCTTTTACTTATGAGCCACTTCATCTTCAAAATAAAACAGATTACTGTAATCAGCTAGAATCATTTGGTAGAACGACAGTAGATAAGAATATTTGCCCTCTCTGTTCTGTGCTAGTGGAAATTAAAGAGGCAGCTCCGGCCCTAACCGTGTCAGTATACCACAGTGAGCTACAGCATGAGGTCAGCAAAAGATGCGGTGGCTAAAAAAGGCCTCAATGACTCCAAACAGTTTGTGTAGCAAGAAATGCATCTTAAAGCCAATGAGTGCAGAGTGGTTCTAAAACTGTAGTGTTTACCTCATTATCTCTACATTTACTGCTGCTTCACATCAACAGGCGCATTAGCAGCTAGCAGATGCTGCCTTTCAGTGTCAGACAAGTTTTTGCTTTTTTTTTTTGGTTTTTGCTTCGCCATTACAGGAAATGCTCTGGGGAAATCAACGAATGCATTAACTGTGCTTATAGATAAATAAAATGCGCTGTGCGGGGGGATTATACAGCGTAGGTGGGAGGGATACTGCATGAAAATGGCAAGTTTTCAGTCACCGCCAATAGTATCTGGTTAAGATCAGCTGATCAGACGCTGATATTATCCATACTGCAGCACCACTATACTATAAAGCACTAAAATACAGATATACTGACAGCCTTGTCGTTGCTGACTTTGAGTATTTTTCAGCGTCTGAAGAACTGCAGCATCCACCCTGACTGCACTGTTGGCAAGGAGGGAAGCTCAAGTAAACAGGCATGCGTGAAAGCACACTTAGATTACAAAGCACTATGTGCACACACACATGCACAGGCAGCATGACATGAATACACACAAACACACACAATCACCAGGAGTCCCAGGAGTTACAATTACACTGTCAGACACATACTCATCTCTGAAAGGTAATTACTTCACACGCCACAGTCATCTTAGCCTTTGAGCCTTAATATAAAACTTCACACTGTGACAAACTACTGTATTTATTGTTTAAGGCATCCCTGCTCAGTCATACAGGGAGCTATACATGGGAGGCTTGGAATTATTCTTAGCCTGTGCAATCATACTGTGTTGCTAGCTGATCAATTGACTTAATGTTCTCATATGGAGACGCTTTATCATCCCCAAAAAGAAGGCGCATAGCATTCTGCTGTTCTGTCACTACTGAATTGTCATTTAGCTTTGTCCTTAAAGGTAATAAAACAACAACGTGTGTTCAGAAAGTCTCCCCAATGTATTATTATTATTATTATTATTATTATTATTATTATTGTTATACAAGGACAAAAGTACAAAGATACACATAAAGGAACAGAAAAGCAACCCCTAAGAACTAAAAACAACAACAAAAATATAGAAAATATAGACACAATATATATGTGTGTCTGTATCCTCCTCTGTAATAAGTCCCTCACAACATTATTTTTCTTTCTCTGTCCACTCTACAGTATCATTATTTTGAAAATTTAATAATACTTGAGCGTGATAAATCTAGCGGAAGGCTCTAAAATGAATATTATTTTGAAAAGTATTTGTTTTGTCCATTGTTTTTTCCTATTATGAGTTTCTCAGAGAAGTTATGTTAGCTTTGTCTGTATATAATCTTTCTAACTCTCTTTCCTTGTGTTCAAGACCGTCTGGTAAAGTTTTGTCTCTCCAGTATTCGTTTATTTGAAAAGCAATGTATGAACTGTGGTGCCCAGTAGGAATAGCTGTTGCTGTTTACTGGAGCAGATATTTTATCCTGCACAGTGCAAATCCAGTTTGTTGTGGCGTATATACACTGCAGAGCCTCAGAATGGGTTGATTACATCTTTGGTGCATTGTGCCCCTTAAATGAATTATATTAGATGCACCTGAGGAATTTAAGGACTGCTGTGAAAGCAGTGTGTGACAGTGTATGAGTCTATAAGGGCTTGTAAGATTTATAGCATCTTTAATTGCTCATGCAGTGTGTACAGTAGCTGATAATACACACAGTTGGATATTGGATGTTTTAACAGCAAGCGTTCATTGAGTCTGTTTGGAGAATTAGGTATCTTAGAATTTAACATCAAATAAGCTGCTGCTGCTTTGGATGGTAGGTGTTGAAAAAGAACTCTTCTTTTTAACAGACACTATAACTCACTGCAAAACAACATGGAAGATTTCTCATTTGCTTTGACTGTTGAGTTGAGTGAAATAACAAGGCTGGTCTGATCTCGTCTGATAGGGGCAGTTCAGAGCAAATAACTAGTCCACCAAAATAACAGGATGCGTACGGGAAAAAAAGAAATAAAAGGTATTTCTGTGTCAATCAGATTTTTTTTTTTCCTGCAAACTTTGTTTCAAATGAAGTCGGCAGGGTAGACTCAATACATGAACACGACATAATAGACTATTCGACTAAAATAGAGAAAAGGAAGACTGCAAATGCTTCAGTTTAAACTAGGGTGTGTGTCTTGCAGGAGTGCACTCCAAACAAAATCAAGTTAAGTGTGCTGCCAAATACTTGCTGTAACTAGGGATGCACAATGCCGATGCCGATAACCAATAATTTTACATTTTTGTGTTTTAAATGGTAAGAAAGGCAAAGATGTAATGAGCAAAGATAGCTGTTTTAATAATCCATAGCTCCGTTCTAACCAAATCTCACTATTGTTAACACAACAAAAACATTTTTCTAAATTACATCAAAAAACTTCACAGACATATGCCTCTTGTTTTACATAAGAGCTCAAAATAAATAAATAATATCGACCCATTATCTGCCCCAATAATTATCATGCAACCATAGCTGTA